AGCCAAGTGTTCAATATGTCAATGTAATCTAGTCAGAATTGGAACTTTTATAAATCATTGTGTTGTTCATTCACACATCGACATAACTGTTATGGTTCAGTTTAACACGATATATCAGTATCTTACCAATATACGAAGTTAAATTGATAATTTACAACAATCATAGTCGAAAAATTTAAGTAAATTTCGCTCTGTTCCAACACACATCTGACTCGATGTTTCGCAGCTTTTCAACGACAAATAAAATCTCAACATTAGGTTTTATCATTTATGTACGTAACTTCTAAAATAAAGAAAAAAAATGTGTTCGTAATATTAAATTTGTTTACGCCTTATACTTTCGTTTGTTTGTGCCGATATAAATGCAATGTGGATGAGCACCAAAGATTTGTAAAGCATTAAAAGTGAAGCATGTTTTGGTGTTTACGATTAAGAGAAATTATAGGGACCTGAAATGATTTTGATTTGTTAAATATAAAGTAGGTACCAATAAAATAATCTCACGACTGTAAATATTAACTTTCCTCTTATCTCTAACTACTTCGTAATTCCACTGCGAGCTGTCGTAATAAATACCTTTCTATTTTTATATTAATTTACTATTTTAGTATTAATATCGAGCTTACCAAAAGCTATTTTCGAGTAAACTTTTACCGATATAACGTTTAGTATTAAGACCTTGGAAACCTTCTCTCGAACACATTAGTATCATGGCCAGTTATAAATACTAATATTAGATAAAGCTGTATGTTCATGTTTTCGAATACTAAAATTCTACATAAGAAATAGAAAGTTGACGCTTGAGGCCAAATATTACAAAAAATTGCGTCTACTAACTCAACTCTATCTTTTCTCTAATACTCATTTTATAATGCGTATCGCGATATGGCAATAAATGTGAAAATGATTACCGAAATTGTTTACTCCAAGAAAACTTTAGTTACCAACGTGTTGTTCAAACATTGTAAACGACAAATGTCGGTTCGCTTTAATTTATCATTCGATCGTTACCTATTTACCTGATTTTTGTTTTTTGTGTTTTGTTTAGCGTCGTTTATTGACGTTGTCTTTGTAATTGGGGAACAATTTAATGTTAAGCATTGTGATGTCAAGGTATCATTAGATTATTCTATGTGATATAAACTTGTTTTATTGTAAGCGCAAAGAGAACGCTGTCTTCCATTGCGTTTTCCATATTTTCGACGTTTTTTACTCTTGTACATATATTTTAGGTTAAGTGGAACGCATGACAATAAAGTCCTGATACAAAATCCCTGCCGATTTTATACGTAATATGAACAAAATTATTATACTTATTCGCTATGAATAACTACAAGTTAAGCTTAAGATGTGATAAGCGATAGCTGGCTATACAAAACAATGCAACTTAGTTTCCTATTTAAATGTTATAATATTCAGTTCTATTAAAATTTGCGATAATTAGAATTCAAACACTTTTTTGTTTTCTTTAAATCAAGTACAATATATTTTGGGGAAGATAAAAAAAAGCATTCAAATATTCCTGTCTGGTTTGAAAATAAATGAAAAAAAATGTACAATTTGAACATATTTTTTGATTATACACAAATTACGGAACGCACAAAAACAAATGAAAATGCACAATACATCGGAACATTTCTGTCTAATACATGACGTTGTTAATTAAGATTAATTGTAAATAATTTAGTTTGTAAGCGTATGGTGAAAAAAAAGCTTAACTTAATCTTGTTGACCTTGAATATTGATTTTTCTGTTGATTGTAAATTAAAAAAAAAAGTATATTTTGTAAGTTTTCACATAGTGTACAATTTTTTTGTAGATATTGTTTAGATTATTAACATTCTGTAAAAAAATGTGTTCTTACTTTAGTAAATTAAAAATAATGAGAATATTTTAGTTACATAATTGGATGTTTTTATTTCCTACGCTCTCCTGGTTAAAAGTAAGAAATAAATCATTTATTAAAATACTAGTTGTTCCCTTGCGACTTCATCCGCAAAAAATTATGAAAATTTTATTTAATTACATGTATCAAATTATCAATTGCAAATGTCAAAATGACATGACATGATGACAAACCATGGCAACCTTGCTTCCTTGATGTTAGCAGCAACTTATGGTCTCTTTCCCACATAAGGGTTTTTATCCAAAATATTTACCCCCTAAGTTTAATGGCGTGAAAATATATAGCCTAAAGCGTGACGTAAGTGTAGGGCTTTTTATTAAAAAAAAGAATTACTCAAAAATATGCTGTAATTACTGATATCTTAGGCAACAAAGAAGTGTGTGTTTACGCTTTATTATAATAGTATAGACAACTGTGACAAAAGACGAGAGCCAAAAATACTTTGTCAATGCAAACCATTTATGATAGAAATTCCTTAAAATTCCTACATTTCAAAGAAATATAAAAGTCAGAAGGGATTATTACTTACCAATAGAACATTTATACATAAGGATATTAACTTTATTTCCATATGTAAAGAGGTTTAATGTGCATTAGAATGCGAGAGGCGCAGAACCGATTATCATGGCAATCTTTAGAGGAGACATTCGCCTAGCAGTGAGCGTGATAAGGCTGAAAGCACTACTATAATAAATAATGGTTTTTATAACTGCACCTTGATAGTTTGTAGTAGCAATTTTTAGGCACCAAAAAACACGAACTAAAAAAAAGTTACAAAAAAAGGAACACACCTCATGTTTATTTAAACTTGTATATTTACTTCACCATTGGCGATTAGTATTTAATGCCTACTCTCCTAATAAAGAAAAATCCGTAACTTTAAAAACATTTCATAGGCACTTCACAAAATGCTGCTAAGCCATAACTTACCTAAAGCAATTGTAAATTAATATGTCTTGTCGCAAATACTGACTGACAACTTTTTAAGTAACTCTTAACAAGTATTTTTAAATAAATACGATACATACATAAGAAACGATATATAGAAATCAAAACTTTTTTTACTAAATTAATAAAATAACGACTTAACTTACGTTTTGTAAGTTCAGTTACTTATGTAGTGGTCTGAATTCAATTATTATTAGTATTAATTAATATAATGATAGCTTTCGCCCGCGATTCCGTTCGCGTGCAGTTAATAAAATTAAATATCCTCATGTAGGCCTCTTCCAGACTATCTTCTACATCTATACTAAATGTCTCGGTTAAGAGACCCGTTCAAAAGTTTAGTTAACTCTAACAAACATCGAAACTTTCGCATTTATAATATTAGTAAGATCATGAAGCATTGACCTATTTATATAAATTTAAATGAAAAAAATAGTAACGCAAGCAAAAAGTGATTGATTGAAATTCAGTCCTATATGTCCAAGCGCGTTGAGAATGTTATGACAAACATGCTGCGAAGTGTAGAAGCTGTATATAGAATCGGTACAATATTTCATAACAAAATCATGACGACTCAAACAATCGGACAAGATCAATTTACAAAATTTCTTTGAGAATTAACGTTACATGATCAGTTCCTCCTTAGACGTTACCCAGTGAGTATTGACTGCATTTTTACATTTGTCGCTAAATCGTAATTATATTTAACTTTCTCAGTAATTTTCCAAGTGTCTCTCTGCATGAAATATTCAAAGGAATTCTATCCAATTTTTAAGTGGCAGGCATCAGCAACATTAGTTGCAGGAATTGGCCGGCACACTCGGTGTGAATATGAACACATAGAAGGCAGTTGTGAAGTGGAAATAATTTCACGTTTCGTTTGAAAAGCGTTCTATTTAATTTTCTTTCCCTTTTAGAAGTAGATTCGAAGGGAAAGTGGCTTTGACGAAGGTGGATGCTTAGGAACGGGATATATCTTCTTTTTGCGAGTCTCCTCCTCCGTCGATCGAAGATTCAACGCATCTGCTTACACGAATGCTTATTGGGCTGCGTTCCCTTCGCCATTTCGGCGTATATGGCGTAGATGGCCGCTTGCTAGTTTGCCACCTTATATTGTAAAAAAAAAGCAGTTGAATGTTACTTCGTTTACTTAATTTATAAAAAAATAAACACAATCGTCAATAGACTTGCGCGCTGTGAACACAAAATAAAAATAAAACAAAGCCCATTCAGTCTCCATACTTATACGCTGTTTAAAAATAGATGGAAAAGGTAGAAAATGAAAAACGAAGCTAAGTAACCGGTGCCGGCAGATGGCAGTCGTGTCTTTTTGCTACTCGACTTGTACCACTCTGGGAACATTCCACTGCCCATCTTTTGCTTGCGGTGCCATTGGCGTACTGGACGTTGTTAATAATGATGGTATTAAAAACATACGGTTTGTTTATATTTCTGTAATTAAAATGGCATACGTACGTATGATACTCTACCAGCTACGCAACTATCGTTTTACAGTTTTGTTTTTCTAAATAACAAAGCTCTTTAAGATGTATCGAAAATTATCGTCACTTTATACAGTTGTAATGGGCAAAGCAAACGGGATAACATTTATTAACATTACACAATTAATCGATAAAATATGCAAAACCATTTAGCTGCAGTCGATGTCCATGTAACTTATTTTTTCGCCATTTTTAGACCTCTAATATGGGATTAATCAGATAATTGCAGTGCGGGCTTCTGCGCTCCTTAAGCTAACAGTGTTGCTCAATAAATGTATTAAAAACTAAAACAATTTTGGTTACATTTTATGCTTTTTAAATTACGTTTTATACCTGAATTGCAAATTAAAAATAAGTACAAAGTAATAGTTTTGCTGGTTCATATTGTACATACAATATGAACCAACAAAAACTAGCCGCTCTATTACGAGCAAGCAACCATAAACGCGTTCCATAAAAAACATAAAATAAATTCGTTCCATTAAGGAACACGTCCTAAACCCAGTTCCTAACAAGGAGCAATGCAAAATTCATTGTCAACTAAAATAAATCGTTGGTATTACTAGATAAGTTGGTCCATTAGATGGTTTTTCATTCAGGACCGGTTCCCGGAATCGTGAGGGTTTAAAAGCGGGAGTTGGGAGTAGGCAAGGCATTCCCGTGTCGTCAGTCCCCCAGGTATCCTGCATCTAGTCATGTGGCGTTTGTTCTTCCTAATTGCTGCCGTCACGGCGCAGATCCCCTCGTTGGGATTCTGTCCTGATTATCAGGTGAGTTTATTTTGTTTATTAAAATAATAGGGATTACATTTTTTTATTCAATTTTCGTTGCTTTTTACGTTTTTAAACAAATGATTATTTTTCACTTTAAAGTTCCCGTTAATTTTTTTATTTCACAAACTTTTGTCGTCGTTTAATTCGTTTAATTATCATCGATCGTAGATTGATTATGAAGTTTTTATACCAACAAAGATAATTCTAATACAGTGGTATTGTAATTCTTCTGGGAAAAAATAGTTTATTCAGTAACCACTAGGTTTCATAGTATATCAAATTATGTTAACCACAAAACGCACTATAAAATATAAATTACTTTTTGATGCAGGTTGGTTATATTTATATCATAATTAATTTGCATAACAATCCAACATGACCTTGACCTACGAATTTGGGTCGCATCAGGTGTGCTATAGTAATTAGTAGGCGACGCGGACAGCAACCGGTCAGCTCGGTCATTGACACCAATGCAGACACTTTCGATTTCGACGAGACAGACACTTTAACTGTCGCTTGGTCTTTAGTCGGGTGTGGCGAATTTGATATGTTCTTTATTTTTCCCACACGTGATGTGCAAACACCAAGTTATTATTACTAAACTATCGTATCCAGTTTGGTGTATTTAAGGATTATTTTATACTTAAGCAATCTCAATAATGTTTTGTTCCACAGCCGATGGCAAACTTCAACATGAATCGGTTCCTGGGGACGTGGTACGAGGCGGAGCGTTACTTCACGATAAGCGAGTTGGGCAGCCGCTGTGTCACCACTAAATATGAAAGCACGCCCGAAGGTCGCATCCTCGTATCCAACGAGATCACCAACTCTATGTAAGTACATGAAGAAATGTAAACCTCGATATATCAATAGCAAGTAAGCAGAAAACAGTGACTTCTAAGGTAAAATTCATGAAGTTCATGGGAAAAACTATAGTTGTACGAAAGTGGGATGACTGGGGTCACCATAACTAGTAAAATTTTGAAAGGTCAACGATAAATGTTTTAGAAACTATTTTAATAATTCATCTTATTCGCTGTTCACGTTTTTTAATTTATTATTTTATACACAGGACGGGAATGAAGCGAGTGCTAGACGGTCACCTGCAGATGATAGGCCGCGAAGGCGAGGGTCGCATGATTGTGAAGTACGCCGCGCTGCCTGTGCCCTATGACACAGAGTTTAGTGTGCTTGACACTGACTATGACACGTACGCTGTCATGTGGTCCTGCAGTGGTATCGGCCCGGTTCATATCCGTAAGTACTGAGGCATATAATTTTCACATACTATACATAAATAAAACCATGTAAAACGTAATGTTACTTTACTTTAATCTGTTGCAGAAAACGCATGGGTACTAACTCGCGATAGGCTCGCACCTCAGTTAGTCTTGCAAAAAGCATACGCCGCTTTGGAGAAATTCAAAGTATCGAGAACATTCTTCGTGAAGACTAACCAAGAGGACTGCTACATCCTACCCGAACCGGCCGCATACTCCGAGTACTCCAAGGAAGCAGGGATTGAAGTATCTGGGAAGCACGCCAGTTTGGTTCCCATTTCCGCCGCTACTGAGGTCGAACCAGTTGTCGAGGTAACATTTAAAATATTTTAAGTAATCAATTTAACTCGAAGTGAAACAAAAAAAAATCTTTATAAAATCCAGAAAAGCTTATTAGTTGTAAAGTGAAAGTCATGTAAAATTGAACCATAGGTTATAGGTTTACGAAATATTTTTGTTGGCCACAATAAAATAGTACTAGAAATAAATATAACTGTAAAACACGAAAGTTTTAATTTCTACGTTTTTCAACAGAAAAAAGTAGAACCTGAAGTTAAGCCTGAAGTGCCTGAGGTTAAATCTGCTATCCCGGAAGTCATCGACGAGCCCCAACTTGTACCTGAATTAAAGGCAGCCGAAACTATGGCTAAGGAAGAGAAGACAGAAATGCCAGAACAAACTACTGAAGTCAAGAAAGAGATGCCAGAAATGAAAGAAGAACCGAAGGAAAAAGATCTTCCAGTTAAGCCGATACAATAACTTGTCCCACTAAGGGTAGTCCGCAAGTTGTACTTAGCTCAAATGATAGTGCGAAGCTTTCCAAAAGGCTTGTACCAAATAAAACCTTGCCGTGGGATTCGTGATGTTTTAATAGTGTTAGATTTTCAATAGTTATAATTAAATGTGACTTTTTCTTGTCAGACCAATTGTAATAAACGAATTAATAAAATGCATTTTTTTATTTCCATAAATAGTTATTAGATTAGGGTGATCGACCTTAATATAGACTGGGCGTAATAACTTAATTTTACAAGTTTTTACGTTTTTTTTTTTTGTAATATAATGCCGCCAGTATAAATAATTACAAAAGAAAAAGATGATATCTTTCCAAAACATTCTTTATTTATCTAAATTTACAAATTACATATTACGTTATTAATATTACATCTTTTTGTTAATTTTAAGTGTATAAAATATTATTACATCTCATAATAAAAAAGTATGGTAGTATCAAAGAAAAAGGTAATCATTTAAAAAAAACGGCAAAAGGCAAGGGTCTGATTATATTGGTCAGGCTGTTACTGTGCACCCACTCCCGGCCGCTATCCCACTACTGCCCGATACGGGGACTTTTGGCTGCTGGGTTTCCCCCCTGGCCCGGTTCGCCCCTCCTTAGTTAACCTGCAACCCCCAGACTCCTCCGGGGGTTCCATATCAATACCAGGCTTAGTGTGGACGTCCAGTCAACATGGGCCACACAGCACCAGGACTCCCGACCTCAAACCATCCTCCAAACCAGACCTCCGAGAAGCCGGATTACAGGAGACGCCACGCTCCCAGTCGACAAACACAACGAATTTTTAGTATAAGTAGTTCATAAAGTCGTGTCTTCAAAACCAGCAAAGTTATTTTTTTTATAATTTTTTTTAATTACAAATTGTTTTCCACTCCAGAAAACGATAAAATTTTAAGTTAAAAAATACATGTTTCTTACTGTATTTTTCAAAAAATTTGAATAAAATAATTTTCTAATAACTTAAATGAAGAAAGTGGTGCCCTCTAGATTACTCAAGTTGAACTATCTATAATCACAGCAACTAACAAGTACTACAGCGCTCTAAAGATGGCATTAGTGTCGTGTAAACTTTTTATTTTTTGTGAAATCTATGTGAAATAGAAACTGGATTGATGAGAAATAACATAACAATGTATTAAATTACTAAAACATACGGTATACTTATAGATGTCACGGCAAACTGAGCTGATTTATTTAGTTACTGTTACAGTCGATGGCATGACTCTCTTTCAATGTTTTATTTGACAAAGGCCCAACTTGCACATCAATCGATTCAAAGATTTATTATTTTAGAATAAGAATAGTATAAAAATAAACATAAGTCAGCGCTAAACGTAACATGTTTATTTTAAGATTTAGGTTAGAGAAATATTACACTATGATGAAGTTATTTTTTAAGTTTATATGAATTCTTGCTAAAAGACATCAACGACATGAGTTAAGTTACGTTTGTAATAATTTGTCTTTTTTGGGACCATAAAGTAGTAGGTCTCATCGTTGACTGATAAAGACTGATAAAGACTAAGAGACTGGTAAAAGTGTTATGTTATTCACTGGTATGAAATAATTGTTTGTAATTATGTATAAGAGTATGTACATTATATTATGTTGTGTTCTTCCCTAAACAAAGGTTACTATTTATTTTGTTATTGAATTTAAAAATGTGTATACTCTCATTTCATATGTAAATATATAGGCTTATTTAAAAAATAAACGAGTGTCATGGAATGCTTGCGTGCGTCTCGTGCATGGCGGCCCAGTCGACTGCTAACCGCAAAGTCTCGTAGACGCATCTATTGGATTAAAGCCTGCATATTTTTACTTCTTTAATGTTACCTGTGCTAAGTTCGTAGCCTTTTCAAATAAAGGTGAGTCTCTTAGTTTTTTTTTAATTAATATTAATATTAATATTAATATTAATTAAGTTAATAAAGTAACTTAAATAAAAACAAGATTTATTTTTATTTTCAAAAATAAATTAATCAATATTACTATCGAATATCAATTTTTTTTTAAATATTTCTTTTATTAATTTATAGCGTTCTCAAAATGGTGGAAATTTAAAATTACAAATAAAATATTTTATAAAGAAACGTAACTTACAAGTTAATATATTCTGTTAATATTTACAAACAAAAATTGACGTTAATGTCCTCTGACCAATGCCAAGACCTTGATAGTTGATGCTTTATTACCAGTGTAGTGAGACACGGTCACGGTAGAGTTGACATCATAGATTTCATTTACAAAATATCGAGAAAAATCTAAGATGCGATCCTATAAATATCCTTATATACATACCTAAGCAATATATACTTTTATGTACGGTTTGGGTGCTCGAAATAATCTTAATGTTTTCCTTCCTAACAGTCTTGATAACAAAAAACTTTGCTCTAGATAATTAATTTACGGCCCCAAACTACTTGATAGTATTTACCTTTAATGTGTTTTAAACGATGTGTTCTTTAGTAATCGGGTTAAATTTAGTTCACGTAATCGAACTCGTATGGAGACCGTAGAAGTAAAACGCTTAGATCTGATAACATAAATATAAATATATTACAGCGTTTACTCACATACCCAAAAAATTGTAACTTTTATGTTTAGAAGAAGCGCCATATGAGTTATCTATTATGATATTCTAATTTTTGAGTTCTTGGACTTTTTGTTATAACACGAATTAACATACTATTTACAAATACTATCCATTACGCTATTGTCAAAGCACTTATTTTATTTTGCATCCAGCAAAACAGCTATTTAGAAACTGAAATATTAATTAACATAGGTGAAACAGACAACCACGATAACATATGTTTAAAGTGACTCACAAATCTCACAGGATATTGTAAAACAAATTAAGCGACATTGAAGGACTATTCACATTAACATTTTATCCGGTAATAAAGTTTAAACTGTTTTGTAGTGAATTTCCTTAAAAATATAAGAAAATTCAGGTCAAATACATCGCTGAAACATTCACATCGTTTACTTGATTGTTTTCAAAAGAATACTGTTAGCAGATTTCTAAGAACAAGGTCGCTTTGCTCGAACTATTATGCTCCATTCATCGTAATTTTACATACATTTGCCACAACAGTTAGAGCACGCGCACACCTGAAACTAAACTATCGCACAACTGTTTAGTCTTACTTTGATTCTTATGGGATTAAACGGAGGGACACGAAGTGCAGTTTAGTTTCAGGTTTGCGCTCTCTTAAGTTAAGGCATTTCAAACACGTTACAATACATTTGTTAAATGTCTAGTGAAATAAATTTTATTTCCCATTATCTACAATTACAAGGAAGTTCCCAGTATGAAATTAATCATCGGTATATACTTCGTTACGTTGTACTATGTTAAGTTTTAATTTTTTTTACTTAATTACTGGTTGTTGCTGGCCATGAACATATGAAATTAATTATTATTGGGAGATTAATAATTTCAAGATATAACTAATTTTTCACAGACAAATTTATTATCCATCAATTGATTTGTTTAATTTTTGGGCAGGTCGTTAACTCAATTTTTTGACAGCAATAAAATTTATAATTATTTGACTAATTTTATACAATGATCTGTATTCTTTTTTATCAAACATCTGATTGTTTGAAATCTATTATACAAATTGATTTAAATTTTAGTTTTAATTGTACTAGATAAATCTCAATAGTTAATGTTACGGAGGAATTCATTTTTATCTAATAAGAAAATACGAAAATTTGTGCGTTAGTCTCTTAAGATAAATAAATATTTACTTATACTAAAATAATTTTAAATCTGTTTGTAGAGAATCAAACTTACGTCTTTAAGAACATGTTAATTACATTATATGTACGTGTTAATTGAATTCGCACAAACTTCAATATACTCTTGCAAAATAAACTATGATGTCATTCCAGGAAAACTTTTTGTTGGAACAAATTAAGCACTTAGTTGTTTTGTTTAAGAAAACCGAACGCTATATTAACACTAATAAACCGACATTTTTAAAAGATGCAAAAGAATAATACTTTTAATGTGATTCGAATTGTTTTGTATTAAATTATTCGATTACTCATTGTTAAAATTAACACACAAACAAATTAAACGCCTCGTCTGCCCTCGACATGTAAACCTTTTATTTCGAAGCTAATAATAAGTATAGGTATAAATTCTCTACTTCTCAATGGCTAGGATAATATATTAAAACAACATTAAGCGAGCGCACACCTTTGACTAAAATATCGTACAACTATTGCGCGATTGTCGATTGTTTCGCAGCCAATTCAATTGTTTAGTTGCACAACTAAAAATTGAGTAGTGTGTGCACCTTAAGCTAATAGGAATCAAAGCGAGACTAAACGGTTGTCCGTAATTTAATTTCAGGTGTTTTGATATTGGTTTTTGTAAATTCCATTTTGTCCGTTTATCGTGTAACTAGATATTAGTTATCTAAACAAACAAATGAGGAACTCCTTAAAATTCATTTACACTCGCAATACATTCCAAAATTATCGCAGCATTGAAGTTATTGACAGAGTTATGATAATAGGAAAATAAATAAAAGCGATTTTACTAGAATTGTATGTACGTTTTTTCGATGTAGGACTATTTCCAATAATCTTTAAAACGGTCCTTGATTCTTTATAGACTATTTTTTTTGGTTATCATGACCAGAAAAAATAGTAATTGATAAGTGCACATTCATTCTTTGCTATTTGAGCTACTTATAACCTTTACGGCTGCAAGGTTAAACCAATTTATCTTGTTATTGTATATACTTATGATTTAATCATACATTTGTTAAATACACAGTAAAAACTACTCTTGCAACAGTTAACAATAATCACACCTACAAAAAGATTAAGTAAACTTTTTATGTGAATCTTATATTCTAAAATATATTCAATGAAAATCTGCTCGCAACTTTAATACGAGATCCCATTTTTTTTTCTTTTTTTTTATAAAATAAGGTGAGCAAGCGGTCACCTAAATCCACCGAAATGGAAAGGGACCACTATCCATAAACATCCACAATTGCAGATGCATTGCCTACCCTAAATTGACAGAGGAGATGCACATAAAGAGGACATTTCCCCTTCCTATGCGTCTCCTCCACCGTCAAATTCACTTTTCCTCTCTATACTTTTCTCTTAAGAAGAGGGAGGAAAGGAAAAGGGACTAAATTAGGCCACCGGCACCACATTCGTCAGACGAAACGCGAAATTTCTTCCACCTCACGCCTGTTTTCTATGTGGTCGTGTTATTACACCAGGCGAGCCGGCCCATTCGTGCGAAGATGTTAAAGCGGGCTCTTCCACTGTTAAAAAAGTAGTTATTTCATTCTATAGAAAACTGTCATACACTATACTCGATAACTTAAAATATTTACCACTAAACTTGTAAAAACGATTTATGATTTCGTTTTGCCTTGAAAATATTTTTCGTTAAAGATAAAAGCACAAGATATACATTTAAATAAATTAAAGACCAACAAAGTTGAAGGTTTCATTTAATTAAAGTGTTTTGGTTACGTTAGTAATCTAGGTCATGCGTAATTAAAAAAAATCTATTTGAAATATTTAACAATCAATTTAAAAAAATATTGGAGTATAGAGCGTAGATTTGTTAATGAGTTTAGTGATATAACTCTATCGCCAAAATGATCTTAAAAAAATATGCAGTATAAATACCATCCATCATCATCATCATCTCCTTATCCTACTCCCGTAGGGTCATATATGCAGTATAAATAAAGGAATAAAAATTCTTTCCTAATACATTGCGATTTGTAGAATGTTGCTAGGCTTCATTTTATACCCCTTGTCACGAGCATCTCGCATGCATTACGTTTAAGCTTATTAATTAATTTCTTTGTGATTAAAACATACCACTATCGGGCTTCTTTTCCGTAACATTATTAACTTTCTCCTATTATATATTCTATACTATTATAATAAAGCGTTAACACACACTTCTTTACTGCCTAAGATGTCGGCAATTACAGCATATATTGAAAGATGTAATAAATATGTGCAAGAAGAGAGATAAGCTATACATTAATTGGAAAAAAGATGTGAATAACACTATTCTCAGTCAGGAATATAAAAATTATAGAAATAAAACTAATAAGTTTATTAATAAAACTAGAAACAAGTATTATCATCAAAAAATTAAAGAAAGCATTTCCAATCCAAGAATTACGTGGAGCATTGTAAACAAATTATGTGGTAAAATATGTGAAGGCATAGACGAAACTCTTGACAAAGCATTCAACTTAGGACACGTAAAAATCAATTCCATAGCTGATAATTTTGCAAACGAATTTGACAAAGGCGTGCAAAACATACTTCCAAAATGTAGTTCCAGCCTTTTATCATACGAATCATACTCAAAGAATCAAAATGTGACTTTTAGGTTCCAAAAAGCTAATAAAAAACAGGTTCTTAAATTAATAAACAATCTAAGTAATAAAAAGGCACCAGGTATCGACGGCATTCGACCAATTGACCTTAAAGTTATTTCAGACAAGATCACTAAAGTAATTGTAAAACTTATAAACACAAGTTTCGATACTGGTACCTTCCCGAGTGAACTTAAAATAGGTCTAATACGACCTATTTATAAAAGCGGGCGCCATAACGAATACTCAAACTATAGACCCATCACAATTCTTCCGTGTATCAATAAAGTCGTAGAAAAATTCGTATGTGACCAATTCCATAATTTTCTACAAAAAAACGACGTCATATCACAATATCAATACGGATTTCTGCCCAAAAAATCAACCACACAACTCCTATCAAAATTTACAGACGAAGTAAATATGCATCTAAACGATAAAAAACATGTTCTGGTTGTTTTCATAGACTTTAGCAAAGCGTTTGATTGCTTGAACCACAATTTTCTACTACAAAAACTCGAAAATACCGGATTTAGAGGGCCCACACTGAAATGGTGTACAGATTATATTAGTAACAGATTCTTTCAGGTAAAAATTCAACAAGCATTGAGCAAAAAAACAAAGGTAACAACTGGGACAGCACAAGGCTCAGTAATGGGTCCCCTCCATTATTTGACTTATGTAAACGAGCTAGATAACACAGTCGATAAGTGTGGTCTATATCAATACGCTGACGATACATGTCTCATCTCTGCAAATCATGACATAGAACAGGCCATCAAACACTTAAATGAAGACTTTCGAAACATACAAGCGTGGGCTCATGATCTCGGACTTGTGATAAACGCCAAAAAGACTAAAGTACTACATATTCACTCTAGTCATATCAAGTGTGAAAAGCCTATAGAAATACTAGCCCATAACCACGCATGTCTCCATCAACAAAACAAGTGTAAGTGCGAACCCGTAACTGCTGTCGAAAGCCACAAATATCTTGGCCTAACTATTGATCAAAGAATGAATTGGAAAAACCATGTTGATGAAGTATGTGACAGGTTGAGAGCAACGTTGGCTAAAATCACTTTAATTAGTGATAAAATACCGTACAAAGCACGTCTGAGCTTATATCATGCCTTAGGGGAGTCTATCATCTCGTATGGTTTAACAAGCTATGGCAGAACATTCCGGACATATCTGGACAAGATATATAAAATACAAATACGACTTTTAAAATGTATTGTTCCCCGACCCATTAAAGAAAAATACAAAGAAGACTACACAAAACTATTTCAATTCTGCAACGTTGTACCCGTACACGATAAAGTTAAGATATTGCTACTAGCGGAGCGCTTCACAGAAATAGAACAGGTGCAAGAACACATTCACAACACTAGATATAAGACACAGCAAAAATATTTGTTACCTAAAATAAATAACTATTACGGCAGTAGGATTAGCAAATATTATATATCTAAAATACTGAACTGCATACCCCTTGAAACAAGGAATTTACTTAATATTAGAAACATTAAAAACAAACTTAAACATCACTATTTACAATAAATAATAATAAACACAACAATACTGAAAAATGTTATTAATAAAAGGAAAAAAAAATAGTCAAATTAAAGAAAGAGTTAATTTAAATAAAATAAAATATAAAAAAAACTAACACTGAACGCAAGAAAAAAAATGTTATCCAACGATTACAAATAAAATCAATACACAATCATCAATAATCTATAATAATACAATACAGAGGAGAGAGTTGTATTTTTGTATTCAAGGAAAGAACTTGGGGGCTGGTGGGCCGATCTCAAAGGTTCTCTCACCGTTAAAGGGCTACTTTATTGGTGGGTAACTCATGAACTTTTACTGTTAATATTGTACCTAGTATATTGCATTGTTACTTTATTATTTAAACTTTATATTGTATCCTATAACTAACTTTTAATATAAATGTGAACTGTGCAGTGCCAATATAAACATTGTATGTTTAATGGCACCAAGTTGTGTTAACTATGTAAAAATGTTTTCGTTGAAATAAATTAAATAAAATAAAATAATTCTTCTTTTAATAAAAAGCCCTACGCTTACGTCACGCTTTAGGCTATATATTTTCACGCCATTAAACTTAGGGGGGCAAATATTTTGGATAAAATCCTTAATGTGGGAAAGGGACCATACGATACGAGCTGCCAACATCAAGAAGCAAGGTTGCCATAGTAAGGTAATTGGTATTTTGACATTTGCAATTGAGAATTTGACAACTGTAAACAATGAAATAAAATTTTTATAATTTCATGCTCATGAAGCCGCACTGGAACAGCTAGTCAATATATAAAATCATTCTACAATATCGAAAATGGCGCAAATTTTTAAAAAATAATTCCTCCATCGTATTTTTTTTGTCATTTCTCGCTCTATAATCTTTGCAAGGTTTCCATATTCCGGTTTATAGACTTCTGTGGCGGTTTTATGTTAGAGATGCAATTAAACCGGTTCCATTAATTGTATGTTACCGATAGATGATAACATTCATTGCGGATACTAGATAGTGGTCCCGCAAATGGCAACGCTATCTAAAAAGTACTTGAAGGTTTTAGTGAGGGAGTATAAGTCGATAAGCATCTATTAGTCATTAAAACTTTTTTATGTGTGGCGTAAAAAATATGTTCGGCTCCCGCAACCCTTTTTTTAAACAACATTTGCAAAATTCACTTAATGTTTCTCATATAAAACTTACGTTTTCCAGATGTCTGTACTGCGAGCGATTGCGGTGTTCCTATGCGGGTTCCTATCTTTGAGATTGTGCAGAGCACAGGTTGTTTTCCCCGGCACCTGCCCAGATGTTGAAGCGATGAAAAATTTTGACCGGGCACGGGTAAGTCATTTGGAGTACGAGATGATTTCTTTTATTTACTGGCAACCATTGGATGACAATAACTTTTCTTATTTCAGTACCTTGGGAGGTGGTACGAGGCAGAAAAATATTTTGCATTCTTCGAACTAGGTGGTCGATGCATTACCGCTGACTATGGATTTAAAGACGACTTGATTACTGTCACCAATAAGCAAATCAATAATATGTAAGTATTTCCCACATAACGTATTGTTTTAGTAATCAGAGTTTGTTTGTTTCTTATGTATCTATTTGTAAAAACACTTTTCATCATTATGTCACTAACTCGGTCCAAGAAAAAGGAATCACAAATTTTTACATGAAGGATCTCTTAAAAAATTACGACCATACATTCAACACCAAACTGTCTTCTTACAGCACAGGATCTATCAACCAAATCAAAGGATACGCGACTATAGAGAGCGGGGAGGCAGAGGAAGCAAAGCTCTCCGTCTACTTCCCGAAGATGCCGATCAACATCGCAGCACCCTACTGGGTCGTGGGCACCGACTACGATAGTTATTCCGTTGTATGGAGCTGCTATGAATTCGGAACATTATTTAACACACGTCAGTATCTAATTTGTAATTCTCAAATAGCGCCTGTTGGTGTTTAATAGCTATATATGCGTTAAGGTTTTTTGTGGCTATTAAGTTTCAATTGAAAGTAACTTATAATTTAATACCAAATGCAAGTTTTATCTAGTCATTGTCAAATGTAGTGGTATAGTGTAATCAATAATAACTGAAAATCATTAAAAGTGACATGATCTCGAAAGCTAACTTAACTTCCGTACTATTTTCGTATGCATAATAGTTATTGTAAAATTTCAGGAAACGCCTGGATATTGACAAGACAACGAAATCCACCAGAATCAGTACTAAAGAAGGCGTACAAAGTTATTGAAGACAACAAAATTGATCAGTCTTACTTCACGAAAACCGATCAGACAAACTGTACAGTTGTTGAAGACGAAGATTAAATTTTAGCAAGTAAATTATTTATGTTTCTATGTCAATAGTGCCTGACCGTAGCTTCTTATTGGCTTCAAACGGTGCTAGCATTTATTTTTATTATTGGGAATTTAACCGAAGCGTCGGTTTCTACTGGCGAAACATTCATACAAAACATAATTGTTTTGCAGTTTTTAAAGACAACGAATGTATTGTGCAGTGAAAACTCACGACTAAATGACACCATTATATACCTATGTATTTTTAATTATATAGTACTATGGTCTTTATAAAATACTGAAAATTTGGTAACTGAGATTGTGGTTATTAATGTATATTGTTTTAAATTTAAACAATATTAGTTACGTATAAAACAGATCGTGTCATATGTTTTAAAGAATTTTTGGTTTTATCGATGAATTAATGATAACTAAAGAAAAAGCCATACTATGAATTATCTGCAAAATATGTATTTTGTCGAACGAAGTAACACCATACACATTTCCCACTTTTAATAAATAATACGAAAGCCGCAATATTATTTTATTTTATCTACGTCATATATTTTAAACCACTCGTTTACAGGCTGTTTAAAACGTTATCTAAATTAAAATACCTTAATATTTTGCATCTTACTTTTATACCGACATTTTTACCGATCATATTTTTTAAAATTCCTTCGCAAAAATATTTGGCAAAGAAATTTCTTTACTTTTATCTCATGTAACAAAGATTGTACAACTAAGCGGGGTTACTGTCGTCGGAATGCCAACTTTTCCTGTGTTCTTTGGTTGCCTCGTCATACGTCGGCGGCGGTGGTGGCTGGCCTTTAGTCTTCGCTGGAGGCTTCGCCGCGTGGTCTTCCTCCGCCTCCTCGGGTATAGAGTCTCGACGCCGCGGGTCGTATTCAGCGAGGGTCGGCTGTGATATGTCATTGCGTTGTGTAAGCTTCGGTGCACTGTTGGCCAACTGAAATGTTACTCATTATTGAATAATAATTGGGGAATTGGTTTAAAGTTAGAATGGGACTCAATTTAGGCTGGAAATTGGTACACTAGGCTCCCCAAAAAGGTGTGCATAAATGTAACAAGACACTTATTGGAATCATAGACAATTACAGTACAGATTGTGAAGTTAGGGATTGTATTGCACTAAGGCACATGACGTCATCTACAATTATTGATATACACATTTAGATAAGAACCAATTTTTAATAAACGTAATAAATTTCAATTAATACGTCGCAGATAGAGTCGGCAAATAGAAATTAAGACTGAAGCCGTAAGCAAGGTTCCGTCGTATTTGTAATGGATTTTGTTCAACAAATACAACATTTGTTTCCTTACATTTGCTAGATACAATTGTTTGAAGTGGTATTTTTCACAGTGTAACTAAGTCTCATGTAAGCTATTTTTAAAGAAGAGTACGAATTAAACGAATTCAAAACAACTTAAATTGATCAATAAAGGTTAAAACAAAACTACTGAGTTTTTTAACAAAGTAACTAACTAGTCCACATTCGTAATACATACTTTCACCATCATCAACATCAATTTTTAGCAATCTTATCAAATAGGCATTACTGTGGATTAGATGTAATGACGACAAATGTTAACTTCCTCTGTACTATTCAAACTAAACTCTGATAAAACATTTTTTTCCTCTCACTGGCAGTTTCCAGTTTTATTAACAGGTGGTATGCTAAGCCTACCAATGCTTGGTTCGCACTAGGCCAGTGTAGTTTGTCAGTAGCGCTCCATAACTGGACTGACATGGATTGCAATGGCTCTTTGCAATCCATGCCAAGCCTGCAAGATTGTCTAGCTGTTTTTGCCAAGTGTGAATCGCGTACAATGATACGTCTCAGATAATAACCTAAGAATCGATGCGTTGACCGAATAATTAATATAAATGTCAACAATTTAATCTATTTACAACTAACCTTGTATGGGTTATGCGTGACTCTGATCTGATTCGACAACACCGGATTGGAAATGTGGCTCTTTCCATGTTGGTGAGTGATCTCCAGCGCCGAGCGCAGCAGGTCGACCTTCGACGCAGAGCCTTGCGGAGTCTTAGGCAGGATCTCGATGTTGCTGCAGCGTCGCTGGCTGCTGCTGCCGCTGCGGCTGCGGTAGAGCTCGTTTATATCACCTTGTGACAACTGCAAGAGAATGATAAAGCTATAAACAAATAATAAGTCGTAGGTTCAAACAGAGTTCCATTTGGGAGCTAAAAGATAAATTCCTAGCTTTAATACTTAAGCAGCGTTAATCTTTTAAACCATTAATATAATGATACAATATATTCAATGGATAAAACTTACTCTAGCGCGAGAGCTTCTAGGTAATGAGCGAAGAGAGCCCAAAGGATTAAAGCGAGTGATCATATGCAATCTCTCAAGGGACACCATCGTTTCGGCATCTTTCCTCAATGGTTCACCATTCAGTTTGTCTCCTTCGCCGCTGTCTACAGTACATTTAAATAAATTTCAGATTAAGTACACGAATGTTTATTTATGAATTACAGTATGCATGAGGATATAGAAACCTTACCTGTATCTTGCTCACAAACTTCTCTCATACCGGACATATTAATTTTCCTGAGCCAGAAATAATGCAGGGCGCCGTATAAAACCCCGCCTAGAAACGCTATCAAGCCCATGTAACGGAATGCCTCTCTTGTTCCGAGTGACGCTATTAGGAGACCACCTCCGAAACTGCCGCTGCCTCTACCTATCAAGATACAAAGATGTAATTAATTTACATTTCCGTAGTATTTATTTTTCTAGTCGAAGTAACATCTGTATTTTACCTAAACTGAAATGTGCCATTCCCAGCACACCAATGAGCGTAGCTAAGAGATTCTTGGGTGCGAGCATAGCGCAGTATGTGGCAGCCGCGACCCACATTAAATGCACTGATAGAGACTCCATTGCCTCGAACGGGAAACACCACCAAGAGTTCCTGTTAAATAATGTTTAATTTCCATTTTGATCCAACACTGAGTAGCTTCAAAAATACTAAGGATTGTTTGTTTAAGTTTCCTGTTTTTAATGATAACATAGAAGTGTGCTTTATTAGTATGTAGATTTTTTAGCTTTTACTGTCTTAGGAATACTTGATCGAGATTGACATAATTATTTATTAGAGCGGGCGTACACCTTTGACTAAACTATCGCAAATTGTCGTGCGACAGTCGATTGTTTCGCAGCCAATTTAACTGTGTAGTTCCACAACTAAAAATTGAGTAGTGTGGGCACCTCCACATAAGCTCATAGGAATTGAAGCGCAACTAAACAGTTATGCGATAGTTTAGTCAAAATGTGCACGCGCTCTTACTATACTTTTCTTTACACCTTTATTATCAAAATAATAGTTACTTCGAACGAACTAATGGCAATGTAACTTGCCACTAATGTTAAGAGGTCCGCCCACTGCGTATCATTGTGCTCATAAACTTGACAATGCCTTATCGTCACCGCACATTACCTCGCCAATACAAAACACACGGTAAAGGACAAAACCATTTCAGTGCACGCTATCTGGCTCTAAATTTATTGCACAGATTATATCATTTAACTGGCGCTTCCCTCTTAAAAAAATATAAGAAACGATGTATCATTTATACTAATATTATATGGAGGTACGTTTGTATTTTGAATGTATTGAAATAACTCAAAAAGTACTAGGCCGATTTCAGAAATTTTTTCACCATTAGAAAGCTACGTTAGCAGTGAGTAACATACTATAATTTTTATTATTTTATAATTTCACGTGAGCGAAGTTGCGAGCAACAGCTAGTTTCTTATACTCTTGTACGGAAAAACGTGTGTCATAAATAATTTAATGTAAATAAACAGTTTCATGTCGTTATTCCTGTACTATTTGATACTACCCAAATATGAGGCAGATGTGATAGACAGTAGACTACAGAATATTTAATCAATAACATAAATTATTGCATAAGATGCATTCATAAATACAAACAGTAAATACAAACCCGACAAGATCATGTTCCAATCGCAGTAACTGTAAAGAACATTGTGTTTCATATCTGATAACAAGGCGATTGTGATGTCATTAAATATTATATGATTGTGAAGGCAGTATTTAGACATATGCTTATTTATAACTTTATAACATAAATTTTCCTATTAACAGACAAAACAGAAGCTGATTACGTAAGTACGTATGTTGGGATAAGGTACTAATAATCGATTTTCAAAACCTATACGCCCAAATGATTTCTTCAATAACACTCTGGGGAAGAATATGATCGGAACCTCAGACTATATTAGCGGATAAACCGATTAGATTACATTCACAAATGCTAAAGACATTAACTTAAAGTTGAAAATTCTAGAATATACAAGTGATATACTTACTCAATAAATGAATAGCCGACCAGCCTGGCGGCGTGGGAAAAGAACGCGACGATGATGACGTTGACATGCCCAATGCGGGCGGTGATGGCGTCCGCGCCGTACAGGAACGGGATGCTGCTCAACGTGCCCACGGTCACGGTTATTCCTGGACATTAGACACTCATATAACGCACGGACAAACTAATCTATGTATCATCTTACTTAGTAATGTCTGTTATTTAAAATTTCAAAGTTTTGACATTAAAGATTATTTCTTACTTCAGTATGATTGGTCACTGAGAAATAATCTTAGTAATGGTTTCTGATACTAAATCAATATTAAGAGAGGCAATGAGTGTACGGAAATAAGCACAGAATGTATATTTTATATGCTTACCAAGTAAAAAATTCGGTGCGCCCAATTCTTTCAGATATAAAAATAAATAAGATTCAATGAAACCCCAAAAATTTCCCAAAGCGAACAGGAAAAATATGAACAAAATAATATGTGGCATTTTGATAATGTTCACTAAATCGTGTAATAAATTATCAGCAGGTAGCTTTGCACCGAGAGGCATTACAGCGACGGTTACCGCAGATATCAGAAGTAAAACATCGTAAGTGTAAAAAGCAGCCGAGTAGTCTGTGTGCCCTGCAACAGACCGATGTAAACATTCAATGTGCTGTATTGACATTAATGATAACGATTGTAAGATTCGACTACACACCGACTTGTTTGCTCCTCATATCTATAAGCATGCCCGTGATAGGAGAAAATATTGCCATTCCAATGCTAGAAAACAAACGTTCTCTGCCAAAATCGCCACCGTATTTCTGAATCATGGTCAAAGCTATAGGATCCATTATTGTGACACCGGCGGAGAGCATTATTGTACCCATAAACCTCAAGAGAAAATATATATAGAACGTTTTGTCGTCGCTCTCTTTATAATCCGGCGGACAAATTTCAGGACCACCTTTCCTATAATCAAAATATATTATATATCAAATACATATTTAATATAATAATCATATAAACAAAATATTATGATTACAATTTAAATACCTAAAATTACATTTCTGCACCATACAATCGGCTGAAAGTGTTTCAAGTCGTTGTTGCGACAGTTTAGTCATGTTGTGCAGCATAACAAGACCCCCGCATCTAAG